ATGTTTTTGGGAATGACCAATTAATAGTAACAGTAGTAAACATCAATGATCGGTAGGCTGAGCACCTTTATACCCTGAGGCACATAGAGCAGAGGGATACAATGTCCGAGATCAATAATGTCCTTTTCAAGCAAGGTATGTGGAGCATTTTTCACTACTGACACAGTATATCACTAAATTCGAGTTTATAAGGTTTAAATAATTCCATTGTATAGCAGTGGCGAAGCTTCCTTGTAACCATTGTTACCATTGGTAACAGTTAAAAATTTAAAAATAAATATTTTATGGCTAAGTACTGTGAAATAATTTCATTTATTTGTTTACCAACAGCGATGTGTAATAGTAATTCAGTAAATAACAAATTAGCTCCACGAAAATAATGCGCCCTATAGTGTGTTTTACGAACACGACGAAGCTTGACTCGCCTCGACTTGGTTGTTACCATTTTCATTTATGGATGCATTTGGTAGTCCGTCGGAGAGTGTCGGTACCGGCTCGTGTCTGATCGCAGACGCCCGAGTGCGTGGGGCGCTGCGACTATTATGTGGGCTTGTTACCATTTTTTGATTTGGTTACTCACTTCTCACTCGTTAGTAGCCGTTTTGGTTACCAGCTGTAGTGTGCGTGAATTAATCATGGATAAGTGTCGCTGCGTAATCGATCATCTACTTGAAAAGTCATTCTCCTTGTATAGTTTTTAAGAAAAAAAGGAGATCATTGAAAATGGAAGACCAACACCTATTTTAGATAATTTTAAAAAGGAATAAAAAAACGTAGTTTGATATTTTAAATTAAGTTGGTATATGGAAACTCTTGGTTATGTAGTTTAAAAAAAACAGATTGTATTGTTGGCGATATCTTCTGTTTCATACAGAAAAAATGGGTGGACCAGCAGCGGAGTCAAAGATTTATATAGTTTTAGGGCTCTAAAGAGGAGACATGAAATTTCTCCATTACATGTGAGATATGTAGCCAATTTAATTCAGTTTGGCAAAACAGGAATCGAAAGATGTCTTAACCAAGCTTTTAGGCAGCTCACTTCTAGATACCGTATGTTTTTTGGCAAAACAGGAATTACCGTTTATTTTGAAGTGGATGACTCTGACAATAGAGGAAATTACAGGAAATTGTTAACATTCATTGCCAAAAAACAAAAATTTTCGAACATCTAGAAACGTGGACTGCTTTTTCGGACGGATTGGATTAGTCATAGCATAAGAACGATGAGGTATATCAAGTGCCCCAGACGATCAATCCAGGAATGTTTACCTTAATTTACAAATAGTTTAAATAAAATACCTAAAATAAGCAAAAACTTATATTTGGGAGGTTCAAAGTAAACTTTTTTAATAAGATTTTTCACATCTGGTTTTGGTAACAGTTTAGGAAAAGTCACGCGTCGCCACTGTTGTATATTGTTATTTACCCTTACCTATTCGCAAAATGAACCATCGTTTCGTTTCATACCAATTTTACAAATATCTGGAAACACAAGTAGCCTTGCGTTAAACTGACAATTAGCAGGATTGGCTTACGCGCTAGTCTGGTCCATTCAGTTTAAGAAGGGAATAAGGACCTTGGGTGGAGCGGGACTAAGGGAGGTCCCCGAGGGAGTAGGCAGGCAAGTGCCTGCAAGAGTACTATGAGCCTTGAATTGAAATGCAAGGAGGCTCTAGATAGACTAGTAGCGAACCATCTAGTATCGTGTGGGTACCGGGGCACGCTGGGATAAAGGGTAATGACATGGCGGACGCTCTTGCCTAGGGTTAGAAAAGCACTTTTTCAGCGGGGCAAAGCGAACAATAATGGTAATTTATAAGGTTAATTGCAATGCAAAATACTAATGAAGGCTATTTCGTTGAGGATAAATCATCCATGAAAACTGCACAATAAGTCTAATTGGGTCAAATCGTCCCGCAATCTGTTGCGACTCGCTATTATTTAAATCCATCCAAAAGTTATTGGTTCCCTGGTGCAGGTCTGATCTACATTAAATTTGATGAATGATGATGATATAAAGTTATTCTATAATATTCACATTATACAGTGATTTTTCTCAAATGGAATGCCCTACTCTTCACTACACATTTGGATAAGCCCTTTTAAAAGAAAGATTGACATAACATACATGGATTTTAGATATTAGCTGTAGAATTATAGGGTGTATCATATGAAAAACATAATCTGTTATATTGACAGGAGGAGTCGTCAATTTTGTGTCAAAACTCCTTTATTTTACTCAATTTTTAGCCTAATTCATCCATTTTTTCACATTTTTTTTGAATGATCAATACAGGGTGGTCAAAAACACAAAATCTACTTTCTTCTTGCAGAAAAAAAAATGTGAGTACTATCGAATCCTCATTTTCATGTGCTTTTTTAATATAAGGTTTCAAAAAAATTGATATTTCTCTATTCCATCAAGTCACATCACCCATGGAGGCAAAAAGTAAGTAATGGATTATTGACATCTGTCTACAAAATCAGGCATTTATCAAGAAACCAAGTAATTATTTGCTTTGTATTGTAATTACTATAGATTGATTCAAATTATTTGTACTACTAAAAAAATTTCCAAAAACGTCCCCTTGATGTTGAACACACATTCACAGTCTTAGAAGGAATGTTTCACACTCTCTAGTGTGTTCACTGATATTTAGAAATGCATCTTGTATTCTCTGCTTCATATCAACTACAATAGGAGCCTCAGATTGTGTGCTCCACATCAAACAGGTATTTTTTATCATTCTCTATAGTAGTACAAATAGTTTAAATTTTTGTCTTATATACTTATAGATGTCATGTTCAGACATATTAAGATATTAATTTTATATCAACCAGTAATAATGAATTACAACAAAAAAGCATTGAATTACTTGGTTTCTTGATAAAAGCCTGATTTTATAGACAGATTGTCAATAACTCTTAGTGGTTTTTTGCTTTCAAGATGAAATTACTTGTCTGAATAGAGAAATATCCATTTTTAAATGTCGAGGCTATTACGGCAGAAACCGTTTGAACAATCGCTAACCTTAAAACCTCATAAGAATTGGGATCCGATAGTACAAAATATACAGTGCTCCATTTAATTTTCTTGTACAAAGTACATTTTGCGTTTTTGACCAAAAAATGGATGAAACTGTGCTAAACCTGAGAAAAACAGAAAAAGACACAATTATTCATGATTTTATACCCGCCAACACATGAAGGCAGTCAAACTTTGATGTTTTTATATACAAAATACTCATTCATTCATCAACTAATAACCAAAACCCGTAAGTATGTTATATCAATTAAGTTCTTTCAAATGACCTATCCCATGTGTAACAAAGGACATTCCATTTAAGAAAAATCAGCTTTGATATGTGGGGTTAAAATTAAAACAGCCTGCATAATTATCAATATTTTAGAAATATGCCTGCAGATACCATATACATATGTATAACAATCCATGAATAGTCTGAAAACTTTTGTTTATGAGTAATAAATACTCCGTCCTCGCACCGCCTTTTCCTCAAACTTTCGACAGCCTGGCTATCTGTCATTGCCTGATTTCTCCATTAAAGGATGTCCCAAAAATAAATGAATGAATTACACCCACCTGCTCGTCGTCCGATCCATGAAAAGCCCCCTTGTCCATCGAACGACCCGCCCCCATCCGCCGGGTTCTCAGTGGCCCATTCGGGCAGGTGGTCCTCGTGGTCCCAGCTTCCGCCGCCGCCTCCGGGCCGTCTCAGTGTTGGCCTTCCTCCACCCTGCCCTTCACCACCTCCGCTGCTCCAACTGCCCCTTTGCCTCTCGGTAGGCAGACGATCGTCATCGCCGCCTGCCCCGGCCCCCGATGAGTCTCGCCAGCTGGTCGACCGCCCCCACTTTTCGAACATGCTAGACGTGGGGGCGGGCATACGGCGCCATCCCGCCCCATCGTGGCTGCCGCCTGGCTCGCCGCCAAGGTGATCGTCGGACAACGGGCGAGAGCGACGCCAGTTCTCCATGCCGCCTCTGTAAATGAATTTCCAATTTTCAATATTTAATAATAGAGGCTTAGTTTGAGGAGTGAACAGCATTGCGTTAATCTACGATTGTGGGTATCTGTATCATAAAAGTGCACAATTTATCAAGTCATTTTCCTATATGGCACCCAATTCATACAATGAATTGTGAAGACACTTTCTAAATTGAGTTTGGCAAAGAAAATTAAGCAATTCGTTTTTAATAATGATTGTTGAATAAGTTTTGAATGACTTTGTTTAAAAGTGTACCTGGGTGTTCATATAATTCTTGTATTGTGGTCTTGTGGAAAATGTAACATATTCCTCTTTGTTTATACCGAGTCTTGTTTCAATGTGTCATTTGTTCAGGGAGTGCTTTGTTAGTGACATTTTCTTTCTAATTTGCTGACAAATACTAAAGTATTAATCGATTGATACAGATTATTTTGGCAGTGCTTAACTATTTTTATTTGTTAAGTGTAACGTTTCACGCCTACAAGTGACACATGTCGGGGGGGCTTGAGATTTGAGAAGTTATAAGAGTGTACTTTTACAATACTTTGCCTTCTACCCAAATAAATTAAAGGATATATATATATATATATATATATTATTATACTAATTAACCAAAAATGCACCTGCCTAATGAAGAGATTTGACCTGTAAACTGTACACCCTATCTCCTGATTTGCCAAATCACACAGAATTCCCAGTGGTAACACCTTAATTAAGGTAACCTCATCAGCTAACACTAAGTCTATCCTGTCATTTAAACTCCCTGGGATGCCTCAGCTGTGTATACTCATTATAACATATTGTATATGTATAGTTGTTATCCTGGATACTCTTCCCCGGAAACACTAAAATAAACATGCATTTTGATAGCATAATTACATTCAATGTGTTTTGCAGCTAAAGTTTCCCATTATTTGATAAAATTTAGCAAAACAACATTTGCTGTGCATCTTAAATGTTTTCATAAGATGTTGTTCCCACTAGCTGAGCTATTTTGTTGGTTATCGTTTCTTTACTGAAAAACCTAAACATAAGCAACTAGTAATTCATCAGGAGCTAATTAATTTGATTATGAATTGGTGATTATCCTAGAACACCAGTAAGCCACGGGTCAAAAAGGTTTGCATGAACCTACCATAAAAGAAAACAAAAATATTTAAAATCACTGGTATATTATCTCAGGGGGAGATTCTAACGACGCCTCCTTAGAGACTTTCTCGATATTCAACTCACCTCCCTCCACTATACTCCTTCCTGGGACTCCACTGATCACTGGTCGGGTCAGCTTGCACACTTCCGGGGCCGCCAGCAGTCCCCGGCCCGCCCCAACTCCCGTCATACGCGCCGCGGCCGCCCCCACCGTACTGGTACCCCCTGCCCCTGCTCGGTCTTCCTCCTCTGTCCATGGAGCCGCCCCTAATGCCACCCCGGCCAGGCTGGGCACGCCGCCTCCGAGGCCCCCTCCGCTGGCGCCAGGACGGTTCTGCCACCCCCTTATCACCGGCGCTTGCTGCTGGGAGGCAAGCATCTGGAAAAATTAATGGTTGGTCATGATATAATTTTATGTAACAAAGTTTTATTTAATTTAGAAGAAGATGGTCGATTTCATAAGTTTCAGACTGATATATTTTATTGTTTTGTAATCTACCGCCATTAATTGGCACATACACTAGATAGGCACTTTCCAGCACACATTTACATCATTTATTAGTAAATATTTCCATCCCTTAATTCTGCCAGGAGTGTATTGTCACTACAACACAATTCACCCTGTATTCCATAGAACAAAACAAATACTACTAATAGAATTAATTTAGTCTATTGGAAAGAACATGAAATAATGCAAGGTTATTCACAGCATATATTAATATAAATGAGATTCAGATTTGCGTGAAAATATGAAACAATACCAAGCAATAAAAGGTTAATTGTTGGTTTGCAGTACAACTGTTTTGATATATTAACACGTTTTATTTTGCTAATAGAATAATGTTTAATTACTATTAGAACAATCAAAATTAATATATAGTCTAATGGTAATGAATATGCCTCTTACCAAAACTCATATTACATCTTTCTGATTTGTAAATTTGTAGCAATTTAGGAGACCTCAAGAATAACCATGCAGATGGAAGTTTGACTCAGACTATAATAATGTGTAATTTAACATAAGAAAAACATAAAAGTATGGTTGCATCCACAGGTTTACAATGTATTGACAACAATCTTATTTTGACATTATCTTCTGTGGGCTTATGAGAATAGGTAGTTTTGATTCAAATACATTTATGTTTGTTTTGCCACTGAAACGTCTCTAAATTATTGAGTATGTTTTGAATCTAAATGTGTGGGTAATTACAAGTTCTTGATGTCCAAAAAGTTCGCATACTATTTGAAAAAATGTAACATTGCATATACACAGCTTTCACATGTGTTTTCTACATATATTTACAGTAGTTGTATCCAAGTATGATAAGCCCTTGGTCATCAAACAATCATCATATAGTTCCAAATGAATGTTCTATCAAACACTATCTCAGTTATCCTGAATGTAAATACAGATAAAACATAAAATCATTTATTTCAGAATATTTTTTTGCATATCAGCCTCTATCTTATCCACATTTGTTTATCCACATTTTTGTTAAATGATGAATTTACATATGAATAACCAATTTCCCCTTTGATAACTTTCCTATGGTATTTCAAGAATATGTATAAATTGTCAAATATATTATGCTTAGAATTCTGAGGTATCTGTCTCTGACTCTCTGGTCGTTTGAGATTATACAAAAATGGTTATTAACATGGCAGACATAGATAAAACAGTAATACAAGTTTTTGTGCATGTTATTCACATATTTTTTTATTATTTATGGGTCCTCCACATCTGTCACATTTATGTTGAGATACTAATGTTCTGTGATTTTTTCCAGCACACAAAACAAAAGAAAACTGATGTTTATATCATTTTAATGAGCTAAGTATACCTCTATAATGGTAAATTACGAGATAAATAAACAGAACCCATATGTGCAACATGGGTTACTAAAATATTTTTTATTTTTACCTTCAGTTCTGCACTATCCCTTACACTATGTCTGACTTCTGGGTTACCAGATCCAACAGACACTGATTTACAATGACTATTACCCTCAGACCACCTTGAGAAGAAATGAATTGCACTTCTTCTAAGCTAGGTAAGCTTGGCTTCTTGACTATTCTTCAAGAGTATCATTGTAACTGATTTTCCATAAGCAAGCTGTTTCAACATCTTAAAGCTTGGCATATAGTACCAAAGATCCAGATATATAATTCTATACATTCTTACTAAAATTAAATCTTTTATCTGATAACTGAGGAATTTAGATACTTTTATAAATATCTAACAAAATATTTTCAAATAAAATCTGATATTAGGACCTTAAAATACTATCAATACATCATTGTTATTAAAAAAAATCAATCATGAACCTAATTACTCACTTCTTCTTCAGTTGTTGGTAGCAATGCTAAAGGTGATAGACACTGTTCTGAATAGAGGCATTTGAAGTTAGTAATTGAGGCAGGAGGTTTGGCATTTTTGTCAAATAATGCCAACATCTCCTCTCTTCCATATCTGAAATAAAATAAAAGTTACTCAATTTACAAAATATTATTTACTCAAAGAAAGTTAGAAATTTTAGAATATATTAAGAAGGCCTAATCATGCAATATAAGTATTATTAGTTATGACCATGTTTAGATTGTGGGTAGGCAACAGATTATATGAGTTCTAGCAATTTTTGATTACCCATTTACCATTTGATGCACTAATCACAGAACATACACAGAAATTTCTGAATCGGTATATAAATTATGAACAGCTCTTGTAGGTCATTTGCTTGTTCTCATTATACATTATCAGCAATGACATTTTGTGGTTCACCCGCAAAAATTGGTTGTCAGCTTATTTGTCTACCAATACATTTTATAAATAGCAATAACTGTTTTGCCCCATTTATTTCTTGTGATTTAGTGAGCTTTGTATTTGGCTGTGATTTCATACTCTGGTATGCAATAGGCTAAAAGTGTTTGCATACATAATTGCAAACTTATGTATTTTTTCATATAACTCAATCAAACTTTTGACAAGTTTTCTTTTATGGATAAAATTCAGTAAAAACACTGTGAAATGATTTTATCTTTATGTAGCCTTCTATATATTGTAAATCATCTACATTTGTTAAAATGATAGTGATTTTATGATGATCTCCATTCATGTTAATAATATTCCAAGCTATGGATGCACTGAATACTAGTTTTTTAAAAATATCGAGTCCAGGTACTTTGTGAAGTGATTAGTGCTGGATTATTTAAGTTACTATTAGTAATATTAAGGGTTTCTGAAAGGTAATCTTTGTAATAATTTTTTTTTCGTTTAAAAAAATTAACACATAACACTATGAGTTGTGTGGCTGGGACAATTTTTTTCGATGGGTGTATGTATTTATGATAATTTCATTTTATTATTTAAATATCATTTGTTTACTTTATTTGGTTATCAAAATGTGCTCAAAATAGGTAGGCAGTTTATATAATTTTCACAATAAATGAGTGACCTCATATCCTTGTTTCTTAACATAAACAATGTCTCTTAAAATGTGGTTAATAGTCGGCTGTCATCAAGTGCCATTAGATGACATAATTTAGGCATTCAAAAAATAAATTATTCCAGAGCTGCTCAGTATATCACTCTCAAACCAAAAACCACTAGAAAGCAGCTCTGAGTAAAACTTCATCAGTCAATCTACATTCCATTACTGTGTATAGTATTACATTAACCTATTTTACCTTTATTAATATTATTATTAAACAACAAATTTGAGTTGAGTACAAGTACTATAAACTCAAACACATAAGAGATAATAGTGTACAGACAAAAGAAATATAACAATTTGACAATCTTAGCACTTCTGAAGTAGACATATACAGAATGGGAACAATATGTTAAGCACTGCGGTGTCTATATGATGGAAGACTGATCCATGCATCGAAGACACAGTTTGAGATAAAGCACTGATGAGTAGAGGTTCTAAAAGCTTCCTTCTGCAATTTGAAGTTATATCTGTTGTATTTGAAAGGATTTTCAGATCGCTGTACCTGGAATGTATAGCTTTTCACTTTGCTCACCAGAAGCATGCCAACTAAGCTTCTGCTATGCTTATTGGGCAACATAGCTTTAGGCTGTTTAATATAGACACATAGCTGATTACAGTGTGAACATGGTCTCTATCACATATGTAAGAAACTTCAATATCTTCTGAATGTTGTTAGAATTTGTGTGCATGATACAGTGGTAATTTGGCAAAATTATTTAATTTATTTCAGTTATTATAAATGGGAGGTAGTACATTATTACAAAATGACAAAAAAAATTGCAAATAAAGTCAAAAGATTTAAGTTGTGCATGTTATACGAAAGTATAAAATTACAAGGATAATAAACTATAGTAACATACTATTCTGACTGAAATTTAGCTATGAATATACAGAGGGTTCTGGAAACAATACTAACCGATACTCTGCAAGCTGATACCGTGTCCCACCACCTGTGCCTCCACCAGTAATTCCTGTACTTCCTTCAGAAGACAAGTTGCGAATCCAGTCTGGACCAAAATTCATTGAATCAGTCATCCTGAAACAGATCAACACAAAGCCCTATTTGGAGTAGGTATTCAAAACTCCGATCAGCACGTTTCCTCTTTTATACTATTGAGTAATAAGATAACAAATGAATTGTCCAACAGCCAAAGCAGTTATCCACAAAAATGGAGGTGACTATTTTTAGTATCAAAAAAATGGTTAGTTTTGGGACTTGTACTTCCTCATATGCTGTTTGAAGTGTTATCGTTTTTGTGCGGATACATATTCAATTCATCTTAAGGCACGTTCGAAACGGAAAACAAGGCCCCAGGCTTATGGACTAGGTGGCATTTCAATTAACATACATTGGGCATTCAAAAGCAAATTAGGCGCTCCAGCTGTACCATTGCCGACTTATTTCATGAATGTAAATATTTTTTAGGCGTGTAGTTGATCAGCTACTGAATTACCTGGATTTTTCTTTTTGTTACACTTGGTAAAATGCAATCAACATAAATGGCTGCAGCGAAATTGTAGGTTATCGCGCATGTGCTCCAAAAACGAAAATGACATAATAACTTAACAAAATAAAAATTACTAAATTCGAAACCAAGGAACGGCAGCTTGAAGTTTTTGAAAAGAAGACTTTTCACGTGATCCAACTTCCTCTAATCATTGGTTAACAATTTTTATGGATGATCTTCAACCAATCATCTAACAAAAATCAAGCACTTCCTTTTTGAAAGAGAAAATTAACATCCCTAGTTTTTTATTTTTAGTACGTTCTAGGTCTAGGTTATCAAGGAAGTAGGTAGTAGGTACTTCCGTCAATGGTACTTCCATACTAAAAATAATGTAGCGATTATCGTCAAACGTGGACAAATTATTCTATTGTGTGTGTGTGTGTTAATTCATTTTTTAATTGTTGAATATTTAACAAAGGATTTCCTAAGAAACATGAAATAAATGTAATTCAAATACTGAAGGGGTACCTTTGTAAGGACATAAGTCTAGTCATTCTAGTAATTACAACGCCTCTGGAATAAAAATATTCCTCTCTAATCAGTTACTTTATTACTGAAAGCTATTACTAGATAATATTGTCAGCGTGTAATATAAAGTTCTGTAACTCGTTATTTTATTTATAAACAATTTTTAAACTGTGTACTCCTGTAATTATCATTCTTAAGGTCACTGGGCTAAAGTTGTGTACGTTAGTTCGAATTGTCAACGTTGGATGACAGTGGTTCACTTAAAATGTTTCCATAACTTTAATAGTCACTGGTAGATGGCAGAAACACAACATGTATTGAATGTATTGCTAAAAGCTGTCAAGAAAAATATGACAACAATTTGTTAGGCATTCCAATACTAGATAGCACTACAATTCCGAGAAATTAGTATTATATATCGATGATAGGTAGCGGCACAATTACGATAAGTGCAATTTGAATGCATCGCGCACCGGCAGCCAGCCGCCAGACGAAAACAAAAACAAAATCAGTCATCTCGGAAACTTAGGCAGTGTAGTAAAGCAAGGTTACTGAGTGTAGTGTGCGCGTGTAGGGATACGGATTGGGACTTTGTAATAGTGCTGAAATCCACATGTTTTGAGTGGAAAGTTTTTTCTTTCACAATCCTTTCCGGATGATGATGACTCAATCAGTTCATCTACCTGCTCCGAGGTAAGTGGTAAGGTTAACTCATGTAGTTCGGAAAGAAGTTGAACCACCGCATTCCTCTACCTGAGAACGGATTGAGGCCCATCCGGCGTTCCTTGTAAATTGTAAAGGCTCAGCCGGTACCGTGCACTAGGACTAAATTCTTGCTGTATGAAAGGGCTTCTGTGGTGTCATGCTCCTGATTGGTATTTGGATAAGGAATTTGCTATTATTGAGATGTATGGAAGGATAATTATATTTGTTGTTAGAGAATAATATTTCTTAGCTCTTCAATTTCTTAAAAATGAGCACAATATAAGTAGGTGTTTGATATAATGAATAAATAAATTATGTATGTATAATTTGAATTTTGGAACTGTTCAATATTTTTTGCGTTTCACTTAAAAACACAAATCCGTTCTGAATATTCCAACATCTCCCATGTTATTACTCGTTCAGTCTTACCGTGATGTAATTCTATACAAAGTACCTAGGTATCTGGAATACTAAATACAAAATACTTTTAATTAGGAATTTCAGATACCAGACAGAAAATACTTTCTGGAACGGTATTTGAAATTCTAGATAATCTTTCGGATAAAGTTTATTTTATTACATGAACTATTTAAGCGTTGATCGCGCAAATGTGTCAAAATATACTTTTTTGGTTTTAATGTATAGACAAGTAGAACCAATTTTCAAACATTTTATTGCTCATTTTTTTTCAATGACGCCTTATCATATCCCCAAAAGAATCGCCCCACATGGACAGAATTTTGCAGTCATATGTTATTGAAAAATATGTTTTATGTAGGATGTAAACTTTTTAAGCTGTTATCTTCATTATTTAGGTATTGTAGTGCTTATACGTCAGCTGTGATGACGGAAGACCATTTGTTTTCACTATTTTCACCACTTGCAATAGAGGAATCGTAATCTAAGAACATTGTAATAAGATTAGACTTTTTACTTTCTTTATATTCACGGTATCCCAGTATTCCGTGGACAAAGAAGTACCACGTATTTTTAGACTCAAAATAAGTCGATTGGACATAATTTACATCTGTGCGGGTGTTTCATTTGTCCGTTAGAAGGCTTTTTCATTTTAAAAGACATTTTTTCTCATTTTAAGAACCGATACTCCGAATTGAATGAAATTTAGAACGTCAAAACACGTCCGTGTGCACCGCCTGTTAAACGTATCCTCTGGTAAACAAAATTTTCTTGTGAAATGACCTATCAGCTGCTCTGCGTTCTGATACATTATTTACAAATCTTAAACGTGAGTCGAATAAGTTGTTCGTTTAAAATCCGGTAGGCAGTGCTTTTTTGAACTTGTTTATAAACAACATAAATGTTCTAATCTATCTGCGAGTGCTGATACCTGGATCTTCTTCGACCACTTTTTTCTCTAGTAGCGTTCGGCAGAGTTATTACGTAAAACACCTATAAAATATAGAAAAAAACGATACAATGTCAACTTGTTGACTAGATAGCTGGTAGTGTGCAAATAGTTCATTCTGTGCCTGCTACAAGTGAGCATGAACTGAACGACAGCTAGTTCCTAGTTCAGGTAGCTAGCTCCAAAAGCTGGCTCCACAATCCTACCGGCCGCTCGATTACAGCGGACCGAATAAATGCTGTTCGCCTGCGATACGCCGTGGCCGTAGGTAGCGTTACTCATAGAAGCCCGTGACGCGCATACGAGGTGAGCGCGGTAATTATACTTCGAAGTTGAGTCATTTATTTTAACAGTGAGTAGATCTGATCAAAAGAAATGTTTTTTTCCTTTACCATTTTTCTGTTAAAATTAAAGTAACAAAGTTATAGCCCTTTGGAAGTTTGAGTACCGCCCTGTCTCAATTATAATATTATGTGCTCGTGTTTGGCAACAACGGATATAATCCGCCTTATCGGTTCATCGCATCGAAAACAAAAAAGCGAAAGAATTTGGAACGATGTTTTTACAATTATTTTATTACGTTGTATACAGTCAGTGTCAGTCGGTAACGCGTGAGTGAATAGTGGTGTCTGTTGCGTGGCTCAAACGAAATCAAAAATGGCACATGTTTATGCGGATCGGTTTCCCAATCGAGTGCAACCAACCCCTCGTGCCTTTGTTAATGTAGTACAACGGGCACGTGAATCAGGTGACTTAAGACCTCACAGGCGACGGCATGCCGGTGCTCCAAGACCTCACGATCAAATACAGGTCCGCACTGAAATACTTGTCGGGAGGATACTTTATAAAACAAGGTAAACATTTTTTTTATTTTTTTTTTATTTTTACACACATATTTTGGTTTATCTTCCTTCTACAATCATTATCTGAAAATTAATGACTCAACTTCAAAGTCACCCTGTATACAGGGTGGCGCATCGAAAACGAAACAGACGCATTTACTGGCAGCTCAGTTTTTTTTTAAAAACGCTCAGGCCCGTCGATTTTGTTTTCGAGGGGGACACAAGTTTGGCAAAAAATCACGTTAGCACGTGCAGCCCCCTAAGCGGGGGTGACACCACTCCCAAAATCTTAAATGGAAAGGGGGTCGAGTGATACCTTATTTTAAAGGTCTTTCCCTTTATAATGATATAAAATTAATGTACTTCAGTTCAGTATTTTTGAAGATTTATTGATTTAAAGCTTAAATAAAGCGAATACATCATCATTAGTGGAGATCAATACATTTGGCAGCAAAGTAATTTAAAAATGAAGAATGAACTGACCCGTTATACAAGTAAATGTTGAAAATGGCCACCATGACTCTCCATGCAATAATAAAGATTTTGCTCAAAACGTTGCCGCACATTTTGCAATATTTAATGAGTAATTTGAAGGCACTCATTCACAATTCTTTGTCGCAGGTCTTCTAATGATGTTGGCTGAGTAGCACAGATTTTGCTTTTTAAATGACCCCAAATAAAGAAATCCCAAGGTTATAAATCTGGCGATCTTGGGGGCCATTCAATGGCACCTCTTCTACCAATCCATCGATCTGGAAACGTCTGATCTAAATATTGTCGAACACGTAATGCGTAATGTGGTGGGGCACCATCCTGTTGGAACATCAACCTATTCGTAAGTAATGTACCGCCGATCATTCTGATTTCAATTATGGCTGTTAATGCAGGATCTGTAGCGTCTTCCAGTAATTCCAAATACATTTCACCGGTCAAATTTCCAGGTAAAAAAAATGTCCAACTAAATGATCGCCAAAAATACCAGCCCAAACATTTAATTTTTGTGGTTGCTGTGTATGAACCTCATGATAGAATCGGACCAATATCGGCAGCTATGACGATTTACTACGCCATTTAAGAAAAAGGAACATTCGTCGGAAAAGCAAGTGTTGAATAGAAAATGTTCATCGTTTATAATTCGTTCACTCATATCTTCACAAAATTGTAATAGCCGATCAAAATCGTCTTCATTAAGTTCTTGTACCTAGGTGAATTTTATCCGGATGAAAACTATTGGCCTTTAGAATCCGCTGGACAGTACGTCGGCTAACACCATACACAGTCTCCAATTTGCGGGTACTTAACATAGGATTTACATAAACTTGCCCTAAAACCCCCACTTCTATTGCTTCGTTCCTTATGGGATTTTCAATGTTGCGTTTTTTATTGACGACTGACCCAGTTTCCCGAAATTTAGCTACAAGTTCTAGAACATATTTTCATGTTGTCATGTCGCTCATTAAATATTTCTGCTGTTCTATTAG